AAGAGTCAGAACAAAGTCAAATTTGGTTAACAAAGGGTTTATTAAGTGCACTTTATGATTTCAAACATTTTAAACAGTAAACTTTAACTTTATAAATAACAGAAAAACATTTAAAAAACAACAAACATGAGGCTGTTTAAACCATCGTTAAGCGAAACAGGGGACCCAAAATTTAATCGCTATGCAAAGCATGGTCCCAACCATCGCTAAGCGAAAATCACCCATAGGGACCATCGCTAAATGAAGCGCAAAAACGCTCCAAAAATGTAGTCACTACACGATTTCATCACTAAACGAAGCACCCGTTAAGCGAGGCACCATTGTAAACATATTTTAAATAAATACATAATAGCAGAATTGACCATATTTCTTACCCTAACTACACAACTGCTTTGCTTTTGTCATACATGAAAGTTCTTGGAACAACCCTAAAGATCTGTCTATAGTATCTGTAATGCATTGTAAGGCACTGAACATATAAGCAATAATAAAGTAATAATCACAGGCTGTCAAGTCAATTCTGACTCATGGCTACCCTTTTTTAAGGGCTTTCCAAATAGATTCAGAAGTGATTTATTATACTCTTCTTCTGGTGGCATCCTGGGACTGTGCAACTTGCCCAAGGTTGTTCTACTCACAGGAGACACTGTGAGTGTCTCCCAACCTCTAGCTCTGCAACTAGATACCTAAACCACTGAGTTATCCAGTCAGCTAACACATAAATAGCTATGTATAAACTGACCATTAATTTTGAATTCAGGATCACATTCAGAGTTTTCTTTAAAGCATTAGATGTGCTCAGACATTTAGAAAAAAAATGGCAACAATGACGATGAAGACAGTGACGGCAATAAGCTTCAAATTTTTCAGCATTGCTGGTGCTTCAGAGCAGACCAAAGGGACAAATCTAAAAATTAGGAATCAAGTCCTAAAAATCTGCAGGTGAGATGACATGTTTACAAAAATCAGTGATTTTTAAATTTCAAGAAGCAAATTAGCAGCTGTTGGTAATTGTTTTAAATTGGTAAGCAAATATTTTAGAACATCCCCAATGGCTGAAATAAGTATGAGGAGAAGGGTGACCTGATCTTCCTTCCATAGCCTTTTAATGTTTCACCTTTATGTTTTATACTTTGCAATTTTGATGCCTCCTGTACTTTTGAGGTTGGTTGTTCATGGAACTCCAACTTCTATAGGTATGCTTCTCTTCGAAGCTTATGTAGAAGTGTAATATCTGGCTTAATAAAATCAACTGTTTTATCTGTGATAACTTGCTTGTCCCAGTACAATGCTGCAGTTTCATTTGCTAAAATCAAAAGAGGTTGGAATTTCTAGCATGGAGGAAAACATGTGAGTGATCCATAAGATTTAGCCAATTCCTGAAAATTGTTCTATGTAAGTTGGTTATGCCTGAACATATAATGAGTAGTCAATTGACCAGATGGGCGGGGTATAAATAAATAAATAAATAAATAAATAAATAAATAAATAAATAAATAGATCATCTGGCTATGACACATTTAACAGCTTCTTTAAATTAATGTCAGACCCTACACATATCACTTATACCTTGCTTCATACTTATTTTCTGATAGTATCTCATGCAAGTAACTCAGTCTTGGATTGTACATATGAACCCCTCAGTTTCAAACTGAAAATGACCTAATTTAAACTACAGGTATGAATTTGGATAAATAGGTACCACCTCAGTGGGAAAGTCTAGTCGCACTGGCCATGTGACCACAGAAACTGTCTTCAGACAAACGCTGTCTCTACGGCTTGGAAACAGGGATGAGCACCGCGGCCTAGAGTCAGACACGACTGGACTAAATGTCAAGGGGAACCTTTACTTTTACCTTTATGAATTTTGTTTTATCAACACCATCCAAGAGGCAACTGTGGTGCTGTCTTGTACTGGTTTCTCAAGCCATGTGTGCTTGCACTGTGGGATTTTCATTAACACAAGTTGTACTCACTTGCAGGTTGTAATAGTGTTACTATTTTATCATTATTTACTAGATCAAAAAGCCTGTGACTAATCCATGATTGGTGCTAAATTATTATTATTATTATTCAAAAATACCAGGCACAGTCAATCAAAATTATAAAAACACTAACTCTGGGTCCCTTGTTGGAAGAAATGTGGCATATAAACAAAACTAGTAACAACAACAACAACAACGTCTTAATATTGTTCCCAAACTGATGATTACAGGGACCACTGAGATTTGTTTCAGCCACAAGTGAGATGTTTCAATTGCCAGATCTCTGTATTTTGTTAATTTTTCACAGTTCTTTATGTTCAACAATGGCATCTGCTGGAATTGCAGTGTCAATGATCCACACATTTATTTGTTCTATTACTACTATGTCTGGTGTGTTATATTCAAGGTGTCTATCTGTTTGGATCTGGAAGTCCCACAAGATCTTGATTTCCTCATTTTCTGACATCTTCTCTACCTGAGGTTCCCATGGGTTTCTGGAGGCTGGCAAGTTATATTTTTTGCATAATGACCAGTGCACTAATTTTGCCACTCTATCATGTCCAATTTTGCAATCTGTGCAGTCTTTGGACATTCACGGATGAGGTGTGACACACTTGATGCTGCTGATGATTTCTCAACATAGTGGGTACAAGAGCTTGGATCATATGGTCAAGTCCTAAAAATCTGTCTGTGAGATGACATTCTTCTTCTTTTCACCACACAGGAATAAAGAGATTCTAAACTGACAATTGTGCTCCTTTTCAAGGAACAAACTGTCAATAAGTTGCTAAATGAATATTTATTTATTTATTTAACCTATACGCCACCCACTCTACCCAAAGGTCTCTGGGCGGCTTGCAAGAATTAAAATTCAATTAAAATACAATTTGTGGATGTCCTCTGTTTATTTTCATTTTCTTGGCAGCAATTTGTTAACAATGAACTCTCCTTTAACAATCAAAAGCCTCACCGTGCTTTAGAACAGGACGAGACTCGTACCTATTACCACATTGTAGAGTTGGGAAGTGGCTGTTTCTTAAAACAGAGACAAGAAGGGAAATCGAATTTTATGTCACCTGACAGAGGGCACCAGATTAAAAAGGCGGCTGGCCTGATTTTGCTTTTCACCCTCTGCTTGCATCTCTCGAGCGCTCACAAGCTTGCCCCAAACCAGCAACCTGCTTTAGCTAGACTGGGTTGCCGCCTGGAAGAATGCAGACAACAGGCGGCGGCACCTTGAGAGCGGCCGGGGGGGGGGCGTGGCTCCGCTCTCCGGCCGGTCCAATCAGAGGGCACCTTCAGAGGATTGATGAGGGGTTGCTAGGAGAGAGCATCCTCTCCCTCCCGAAGGGACCACGGGAGATTTTCTCCCGTGCTTGCGCGGGCTGCGAGCGGAGTTCAATCGCGGTGCGGCCCCAGAGTGTAAGCGCCCGTCTCAGTCGGTCTCCAGTGCAGTGGCGGTAACGAAGGAAAGCCGGGTAGCCGGGTAGGCGGGTGGGCGGGAGACCTTTCTCCTGCCAGGCAAGCCTTGCCCATCTCCGCTCTCGGCCATGCCCAAAACGCTAGGCAGATTCAAAGTTTGTAATATTTCTCTTTCCAGCTAGCCCAATCTTCATCCGGCAGCTCTGCTGCATGCCGTTGGAGCCAGGCAGAAAGTCAGCCTTTGTCGTCCTGTTTTCCCAAACCTCCCAAATTGGTGGCAAAAGAAGGTGCGCGTGAGAGCGAGCGAGCGAGGGAGAGAGAGGGAGGAAGGGAGGGAGGGAGCTGCAGAGCTGCAGCAAAGAGCATCAGTTGAGGAACGCTAAAGTGCCCCGACTGGGGGATTTATAGCGAGGGTGGCAAAGAGGAGGAGGAGAGGCTGGGGAGTGCGCCTGTGCCTGTGTGTGGTTTTGGAGGGGAGGGCTGATCGTAGCTCGGCTCTGCCTCTCCTCAGCCCCTCAGCCCTGCCGCCTCCCAACCCGCCCCCCTAAACCCGCTACCCCACTGCTCAAGGGGAGCCTTGATGTGCTGCCATCGGGACCCCGTCCAGAGGGGCGGGGGGGCAGGAGGAGGAGGAGGAGGAGGAAGGGGAGCAAGAGGAGGAGGAGGAGGCAGGAGAAGACGAAGAAGAGAAAAATCTCCCCCGAGGAAGGGACCGCGGACATTTCCCGGGGGTGCCATCAAAGCCCTTTCGGATCATTAAGGCGCCCACCCAGGCCACGCTCGCCACCCCCTCGTCTGCCCGATCGTCTGGCGTTCGGGGCTTGGGGGGGCGGGTGGAGAGAGGAAGAGAGCGAGCGGGCGACAGAGGCGACTATGACTGGGAATCCGTCAGTGGCCAGCCAGCGTTCCCAGCCACGGCACGGTAAGGCGAGGCGCGGACTACCTGGCCCTTGAGAGGAGGTGGCGTGGCAGGTCGCCACTTTCTGACAAGACAGGCGGGGNGGAGGCGATGGAGAAAAGTTCCAGCGGTGGGTCGGGGAGGCTTCAGAGAAGCCTGGCTGCACACCTTGAGGTGCCATCCCTTGGCAGGAGCAGATCCAAAGGTAACTCCAAAGAGAGGGCAAACTCCACTGCTCAGGATCGCCCACTTTCCACCTCAGGATGGTGAGGTGGAGCACCACGCAGGAGGATCAATCTCCCCACCCACTTCCTCTGACCCATGTTGACTTAATGAAGACCCCTGAAAGAAGTGTTGGTTTCGGGAGGGAATGCTGCTTAAGCACAAGGTCTGGATTCCGTAAGTACCAGTGATTTGTGGGTTGCTACACAAAATGTCTCCTAGAAGGATACTTGTCCTGGGATGAGGACAAGTCCTGGTACCCCAGGGCTGGCAAAAGGCAAAGGGTGTGCAGCCCAGCATCTCTCTGGAGCTGAGAATCCTGCAGTGGAGACTGTGTGGCAGGGAGAAGGGGAGAGAGAGTGAAGAAGGGAGAGATGGACTTTTCCATAATCCCATCATCATCACCATCATCATCACCCCCACCATCACCACAAGTGTAAACTTACAATTTAAAAGATGAAAGACCAGTACCCCTCACATTTATCTGAGCTCTTTATCAATGTCTCAAAGAAAAAGTGAGAAAGAAATTCGAGAAGTACTGTAGGATGCTTCTTGTACTAAAGACAGCTTTACTTCTTGTTGCTACTGCTGCTGTTGTTGCATGTGGTTTGGATCTTAAAACTGATGGCTGGTAGGACAAGAACCTCCTCTTTCTATACATTATTACAGATAGAAGGAGGCACAGAAGATGAAATTTCAGAGTTGACATGATCGTTGTTGGGAACATTCTTTGAATCTGCCTCTATGACATGACAAAGGAGAATGATCCTGTTATTCTGTATGTCAACATTTGGGGGGGCACAATCCACCAGGACATTCTTCTCTGCAAGCCCCACTGCTCTTATACTGCTTCAGTCATTTCAGTGAGACTGACATGGGACAATTTCTTGCTGCTGTGCACTGCCAGAGTTCATGCGTTCTTTCCTGTGTAATTTCAGCCCTCAGACGGTGGGATCAAACAGATGATCCTATGGGGCCTTTGTTTCTATTATGTTTTTATGTCAACAGATATTCTAGGACAACCCAAATGGCATCGGTTTGCTTAGAAAACTATAACTCAGCTTGACTGTAAGCCTGTATTGTCTCTGTCTATGGGCATTTCCATTTTTGTCTTCATTCCTTTGTGTAAATCCATGTGATGTTTCAGTGTACATGGTTACTTATACAAAATATACCTGACTCTGGAATGTGTGTGTGTGTGTGAGAGAGAGAGAGAGAGATTTACACGTGTACATTTAGGACTGTTGAACCATGCTTTTGTACATTTTTTCACACCAATTTTTATTTGCATCTTGTATATTTATTTTTAAAAATCTGTTTGTTTAATCATCTGAAGTCATTGGGATAAAGAGAAAGTAATGAATCTAGGTTTTAGGTTTGTAATATGTTTATCTTTTTAAAAAAAGCTCTTCTAGTTTTGTGATTCCTCTTTTTTAAGGAAGTATAGTGGACTGAATGGGGGTGGGGAGGATGAAAATGTACTTTTAAAGCATCTTTCCTGGCAGAATGGGAAGCCTTAGCCTGAATTTACCCTCATAGAAATAGATTCCCCAAGTTATTAAAGATTCATGATAAGAATTTGCAAGGTGGAAGTCACCTGATCAAATGCATTGTCAGAGAACAATGGCTATACCTTCCAAATACATCTCACTGTCTTCTGCATGAATTATGATGCTACCTGCCTGTTCTGATTCAGGCAATCAGAATAAAATATTTTAATATAGTCTAAACAAACTAGGAGACCAAAAAGTTAAAAAAAAATCAAAAGATACAGAAATGAAGATCTATAATCTTGTAGGGGGAAATCTCAAAATATATATGAAAGAAAATATTTCTTAAGTAATATGTTAGTAAGCAGAGTAATCAAACTACTATGACTGTTACAAGGTGAATATTTCAAGCTTATGTACTTTGTCAATGTATCTCCTGCCACCATGTCATCTACTGAATCAATTGTCCAGAAACTATCAATGCCTGTGAAGTACTGCACAAGAATAAGGCAAGACATTATTTTTTCTCTAAAGCCTATATAATGCAAATGAAAATAATATTATTGAAGTAAGGCAATCATAGTTTTAAGACAAAATCCTATGCACATTTATCAGAGAATAAAACCTATTGAATATAATGGTGTCTACTGTCCCCAGTGAGTATGCATAGGATTGAACTGAAGAGGCACTAATTAAATTGGGCATTTTAGAGGGTGTTGTTTACATGTCTGAGAGGAACTATAATTTCCTAATTGTGAGTGCTGTTTCACACATGCATATATGATACTTGATTACACTGGTGACTAATAGCAAAAATGAGGTGGTATAGACACTATCTCTGGTGTGTGCTAGATCTGTGAAGGGACATTCATGCACATAGTCTTCTTTACTATATTTTCACTATATGTTCACAAGCATGTAGATGTGAACCTGTCTTTACCTTATGGCAGAAGTGGACAGATGTCATGCTTGCAAGATGTATTTTGGTTAGGGTTTTTGGGGGGGATAGTAAAAACCTCCTTCAGATTTATCAAAGTCAGGTAAAGAATATATACAATTAGAACTTGCTCTTCTAGGCATGTGCCATCATGGTGCATCTGGTTTGTGAAATATTTAAGGAGTGATTTTACCAGTGCAGCCTCTCCTCAGTGAATTTTAATGGAAAGGAGATTCAAACCCAGGTCTCCTGAGTCCTCATCCATTGCAGTTGACAGAGTGTAATAACTAGACTGCAGAAATTAAAAATTTTAAAAATACCAGATTCCAGAATTCATTTTGACTATCAGGACAATGTTCACAATCTTAACCCCTGCCAAAAAAAACGTCCCACTCCCCGTTACCCCAAACATTCTTCACATCAGCAGTATAATTTTGAGAAGTTGGATTTTGTTCCTGCTGTTCATAAACAACGGAGAATCAGAAATCCATTTTAATCTTCCGTAAATCACCCAGAGATCTGGCAGTTGATTCCAGCCTCGCTCTGTCCACCCAGATTCTAAGTATGAATACAAAGCCAGTGTGTGTTTCCAGACTTTCTTTCTATAGATGTAGCCCAACCAGTAGGAGAAATAAGTTCCACTGAGCTTCTTTGAACTTTTGCCTAAGTATACATAGAACTGAAATCCACATTATGCTCAGAGCACAAAAAAAGTTCCTTAAACACACACACACACACACACACACACACACCTGTAAACCACCACCCCAGCATCCCCGACCTAGTATAAACACTTTTCCAAAGTAACATTCCCAAGCTCTGCTTGCAGAGACTCATCCTGTGTCATGTCTGTTCATAAACAGATTGTACTATGTTTAATGGATATGTTCTGTGTACACTTTCAGCCCAAAGAGAAGAGGATTCACTTGGTAGCAAAGCTCCCACTGAGCTCTGTAGCTGTGCCTTTACTAGCAGGCTGATCTGCAGACAGGGCATCAACTGACTTTGAGAGGGAGTAATATTTTGTTCCCCATTGTGAAACACGTCACCTGCTGATTGTTCATCAGGCTGCTATTAGATGAAAGGCACAACAGCAGGCCTTGTTCTTTTTCTTTCTTTTTCCCTTTTCAACCCTACCAGGAAAGTTATATGGAGTCAATCTCACCTAAGCCTACCATTTCCAAGAGCTAATGGATGGGAGACTAAGTGAAAGTTGAACTGAGAACCAGTTGCATAAAATGAAAGGTTTGCAGGGATGTACTTGGTAATCAGTTTCGTAAACAATAGTGACATCAGTTCTTCTCCTTGGAAGAACTACCAATAAGAGAAAGGGGCCTGTGTCAGCTACAGAAGTCTGAAGCATCAGGCGGGCAAAACATTCTTTCCCACCAAAGCACAACTGGCACTAATTCAACATATGCAGCCCTATTGTGACATGAAGATAAGCAGAAAATGGATTTTTCTTTTCCCCTGATGGATTTCTGCCTGCCATGCAGCTGTTAAAAGCCATGGGGCCTGTCCTGAAAATAAAAAGGAAAGCCTCTTATTCACACAGTATCAAAAAAGCACTGTTAAAACAAAATGCCTTAGGAAAGACAAGAGAAGAATAAATCTCATGGGTTTTCAGATGGCCAACTGCAAGACAGCAGTTCTGGATGTTCTGCAGAATGGTTCGATGCTAAAAGAATGAATGAATGTCTCACTGAGGACTTCCCATTCCTGACACAGAAAACTACCCTGTGTTTATATTCCCATAGGCAGTGTCAGTAGAGCCATCGCTCCAGGGATTCTTCGTGTTACACCACAGGGGCTGGAAACGTTCCCTTGAACAGTGGGAGTATTTTCAAAACACATGTAGCTAAAATGGAAACTTGTGCTCAGCAGAGGCAAAGCTGTATGGTTTCATTTAACAGAGCTATACCTGAAGACTCACCCAATTCCGATTATATTGGCTCCAGTCCTATGGGGTTAAATCTCACAGGATTTTCAATGGGACCTAGTCCTGTCTAATTTTATGTGGGCTGCGGCTACTAAGTTGGCATAACAACTGAAACCAGTAATCTCAGCAGAACAAGGCAGAATTAATATCAAGTTCTTTAAGTTAGAAACGGTGAAATATCTTATCTAGTAACTTCACAGTGGGATAAATAATACAGGGCTATGGCAGTTTATGTATTGTGCTGGACAGCACAAAATCTACTGGGGGATACAAAATTAATGATGCAAAGACTAACAGTGCATTCTGATGAAGAGAAAGAAATCAGCATGAAAGCAAGCATAATGTGAAATGTAGACTTCACACAAAATCATAGCGTCCTGGGAATCTCCGCTCTCTTTGTTTCTGTCTTAAGAAGTTCCTAGTCCTCATCATTTAT